ACAAAGCGAAGCCCATCACACTCACAGCGGATTGCCCAGCAGAAACCCTGTAAGGCAGAAGAGAGTGGGGGCCAATATTCAACAGCCTTAAAGAAAAGAACTTTCAACCTAGAATTTCATATCCAGCCAAACTAAGCTTCGTAAGTGAGGGAGAAACAAAACCCTTTACAGATAAACAATTGCTAAGAGATTTCATCACCACCAGGCCTGCCTTACAAGAGCTCCTGAAGAAAGCATTAAACATGGAAAGGAACAACCAGTACTAGCCACTCCAAAAACATACCAAATGGTAAAAACCATCAACACAATGAAGAAACTTTATCAACTAATGGGCAAAACAACCAGCTAGTATCAAAATGGTAGGATCAAACTCACACATAACAGTATTAACCTTAAATATAAACAGGCTAAATACCCCAATCAAAAGACACAGACTAGCAAATTGGATAAAAAGGCACAACCAATTGGTGTGCTGTATTGAGGAGACCCATCTCATGTGCAAAGACACACATAGACTCAAAATAAAGGGATGGAGAAAGATTTACCAAGCAAATGGAGAGCAAAAAAAAAGCAGGGGTTGCAATCCTAGTCTCTGATAAAACAGAATTTAAACCAACAAAGATCAAAAAAGACAAAGAAGAGCATTACATAATGATAAAAGGATTAATGCCACAAGAAGAGCTAACTATCCTAAATATATATGCACCCAATACAGGAGCACCCAGATACATAAAGCAAGTTCTTAATGACCTACAAAGAGACTTAGACTCCCACAAATAATAGTGGGAGACTTTAACAATCCGCTATCAATATTACACAGATCAATGAGACAGAAAATTAACACGGATATCTAGGACTTGAACTCAGATCAGTACCAAGCAGACCTAATAGACATCTACAGAACTCTCCACCCCAAATGTATATTCTGAGAAGAATATACATTCTTCTCAGCACCACATCATCACACTTACTCTAAAATTGACCACATATGGAAATAAATCACTCCTCAGCAAATGCAAAAGAACAGAAATCATAACAACCAGTCTCTGAGATCACAGTGCAATCAAATTAGAACTCAAGATTAAGAAACTCACTCAAAACCACACAACTGCATGGAAAATGAACAACCTTCTCCTGAATGACTACTGGATAAATAATGAAATGAAGGCAGAAACAAAGATGTTCTTCCAAACCAGCAAGAATGAAGACACAACACACCACAATCTCTGAAACACATTTAAAGCAGTGTCTAGAGAGAAATTTATAGCACTAAATGCCCACATGAGAAGTGAGGAAAGATCTAAAATCGACACCCTATCATCACAATTAAAAGAGCTAAAGGAGCAAGATCAAACAAATTCAAAAGCTAGCAGAAGACAAGAAATAACTAAGATCAAAGCAGAACTGAAGGAGATAGAGACATGAAAAACCCTTCAAAAAATCAATAAATCCAGAAGCTGGATTTTTTTTAAAAGATCAACAAAATAGATAGACCACTAGCCGGACTAATAAAAAAAGAGAGAAGAATTGAATAGATGCAATAAAAAATCATAAAGGGGATATCACCACTGATTTCACAGAAATACAAACTAACATCAGAGATTACTACAAACACCTCTATGCACATAAACCAGTAAATCTAGAAGAAATGGATAAGTTCCTGAACACTTACACTCTCCCAAGACTAAACAAGGAAGAAGTTGAATCCTTGAATAGACCAATAACAAGGTCTGAAGTTGAGGCAACAATTGCCTACCAACCAAAAAAAGTTCTGGCCCAGACAGGTTCACAGCCGACTTCTACCAGAGGTACAATGAGGAGCTGGTATCATTCCTTCTGAAATGATTCCAAACAATACAAGAAGAGGGAATCCTCAATAACTCATTTTATGAGACCAACATCATCCTAATACCAAAACCTGGCAGAGACACAACTGAAAAAGAAAATTTCAGGCCAATATCCATGATGAACACTGATGCAAAAGACTTCAATAAAATACCAGCCAACCTAATGCAACCACACATCAAAAAGTTGATCTATCACAATCAAGTAGGATTCATCCCAGGGATGCAAGGCTGGTTCAACATATGCAAATCTATAAATGTAATCCATCATGTAAACAGAACCAAAGACAAAAACCACATGATTATCTCAATAGATGCAGAGAAGGCCTTCAACAAAATTCCACAGCCCTTTATGCTAAAAACTCTCAATAAACTAGGTATCAATGGAACATATCTCAAAATAAGAAAAGCTATTTATGACAAACCTACAGCCAATATCATACTGAATGGGCAAAAACTGGAAGCATTCCCTTTGAAAACTGACACTAGACAAGGATGCCCTCTCTCACCATTCCTATTCAACATAGTATTGGAAGTTCTAGCCAGAGCAATCAGGCAAGAAAAATAAATAAAGCATATTCAATTAGGAAAAGAGGAAGTCAAATTGCCTCTATTTGCAGATGACATGATTGTATATCTAGAATTCACCATCATCTCAGCCCAAAATCTCCTTAAGATGATAAGCAACTTCAGCAAAGTCTCAGGATACAAAATCAATGTGCAAAAATTGCAAGCATTCCTATACACCAATAACAGACAAATTGAGAGCCAAATCATGAGTGAACTTCCATTTGCGTATGCTACAAAGAGAATAAAATACCTAGGAATACAACTAACAAAGGACGTGAAGTACCTCTTCATGGAGAGCTACAAACCACTGCTCAAGGAAATAAGAGAGAACACAAGCAGATGGAAAAACATTCCATGCTCATGGTTAGGAAAAATCAATATCATTAAAATGGCCATACTGCACAAAGTAATTTATAGATTCAATGTTATTCTCATAAAGCTACCATTGACCTTCTTCACAAAACTGGAAAAAAACACCTTAAACTTCATATGGAACCAAAAAAGAGCCCACATAGCAAAGACAATCCTAAGCAAAAAGAACAAAACTGGAGGCTTCACACTACCTGACTTCAAACTATACTATAAGGCCACAGTAATCAAAATACCATGGTACTGGTACCAAAACAGAGATACAGACCAATGGGACAGAACAGAGGCCTCAGAATTAACGCCACACACCTATAACCATCTGATTTTTGACAAACCTGACAAAAACAAGCCACAGGGAAAGGATTCCCTATTTAATAAATGGTGTTGGGAAAACTGACTAGCCATATGCATAGAGCTGAAACTGGATTTACACCTTATACAAAAATTAACTCCAGATGGATTGAAGATTTAAACATAAGACCTAACACCATAAAAACCCTAGAAGAAAACCTAGGCAATACCATTCAGGACATAGGCATAGGCAAGGACTTCATGACTAAAACAACAAAAGCCAAAATACACAAATGAGGATCTAATTAAACTTAGAAACTTCTGCACAGAAACAGAAACAATCATTAGAGTAAACTGGCAACAAACAGAATGGGAAAAAATTTTTGCAAGCCACCCATCTGACAAAGGGCTAATATCCAGAATCTGCAAAGAACTAAAACAAATATACAAGAGAAAAACAACCCCATCAAAAAGTGGGCAAAGGATATGAACAGATATTTTTCAAAGAAGACATTTGTGCAGCCAACAAACATATAAAATAAGTACTCATCATCCCTGGTCATTAGAGAAATGCAAATCAAAACCACAGTGAGATACCATCTCACAACAGTTAGAATGGCTATAATTTAAAAATCTGGAGACAACAGATGCTGGAGAGGATGTAAAGAAATGGGAATGCTTTTACACTGTTGGTGGGAGTGTAAATTGGTTCAACCATTATGGAAGATAGTGTGGCTATTCCTCAAGGATCTAGAAATAGAAATATGATTTGACCCAGCAATCCCATATACACCATTGAATACTATGCAGCCATAAAGATGGATGAGTTAGTGTCCTTTGCAGGAACATGGGTGAAACTGGAAACCATCATTCTCAACAAACTGACACAAGAACAGAAAAACAAACACTGCATGTTCTCACTCATAAGTGGGTATTGAACAATGAGAACACATGGACATAGGGAAGGAAACATCACACACTGGGGTCTGTTGGGGAATGAGGGCTGGGAGGGATAGCAGGGGTTGGGGAGATTGGGGAGAGATAACATTAGGATAAATACCTAATGTAAGTGATGGGGGATGGAGGTAGTAAGCCACCATGGCATGTGTATACCTATGTAACAATCCTGCAAGATCTGTACATGTACACCAGAACTTAAAGTAAAATAAAATATTTCTCTCTCTCTTTCAAGGCCCTACCTCCAAATACAGTTACATTCTGATGTGTTGGGAGTTGGGGCTTCAACATAGAAATTTTGGGAAGGTACAATTCAGCCCACAAAGTTACCCTTCCAGTAGGCAATCATTTCCTCTTGTTTTCTGTAAGGAGACAAAATGAGGACCATGGATTATGTATCTCATATTATGCTCACATTGCCAGTGTTATCTTATTACATACTCTTAGTCTCTTCTGCAAAAGTAACATTTGTTAAATATTTCTAAAGGTCCACCACCTCAAGGGTGGTTCTAAAGGAAAAGCTAAGGTAAAATAGTCACATTCAAGAATACATCAGAAGATTGTATCTCAAATATCCTTCTTGGACCCTTGTATTACAACTGTTTTATGAGTCACCATATTTGACACTGCCAAATTTTAGTTTTTCTCATTATTTAAATAATTACTGAAAGAAAGGAGCCTAAGAAATCATTCTGAAGTAACCTAATATTTAAGGGAGAGGCAAGAAATGGGAACACTACTGTTTTGGTTGAATCGTATCCCTCTAAAGGATGTGTTCAAGTCCTATCCCCTAGTACCTGTGAATGTGACCTTATTTGAAAATTGGCTCTATGCAGATGTAATCAAATTAAGATGAGATCATTGTTGATTAGGGCGAGACCGAATCCAATACGACCAGTGTCCTTACAAGAAAAGAAACAGACTTGGAGGTGGGCGGCGCAGGGCTGAAGGCTAGCAGATGGAGCGATCATGTCACACAAACAAATTTACTATTCAGACAAATATGACGACGAGGAGTTTGAGTATCGGCATGTCAAGCTGCCCAAGGACATTGAGTATCGGCATGTCATGCTGCCCAAGGACATTGAGTATCGGCATGTCATGCTGCCCAAGGACATTGAGTATCGGCACGTCATGCTGCCCAAGGACATAACCAAGCTGGTCCCTAAAACCCATTGGATGTCTGAATCTGAATGGAGAAATCTTGGCGTTCAACAGAGTCAGGGTTGGGTCCGTTATGTGATCCATGAACCAGAACCTCACATCTTACTGTTCTGGCGCCCGCTACCCAAGAAGCTGAAGAAATGAAGCTGGCAAGCCACTTTCAGCCTCAAGCTTTAAACAGCTGTCCTTACTTCCTAACTAACATCTTTCTGATGGCATTATTGTGTTGCCTTCTTGTTTCTCACTTTGCTATTTAAAAGATTCAATACAGTGTTTGAATGTGCTGGTAACTGCTTTGCTTCCTGAGTAGAGCCACCACCACGATAGCCCAGCCTGATGAGTGCTCTACGGACCCACAGCCTCAGCTGAGTGTGACCCCAGAAGCCACAGTGTGCTGTGTATCCAGAACACACTTGGCAGATGGAAGCATCTGAGATTAAGACCATGTCTGTTACAGGGATCGTGTAAACTTGTTTTGTTTTTTTCTGCCGGGTGTTGTATGTAGGTGACTTGTGGATTTATGTTTCAGTGTACTGGAAACTTTCCATTTTATTCAAGAAATCTGTTCATGTTATAAACCTTGATTAAAGAGGAAGTTTTTATAATCTAAAAAAAAAAAAAAAAGAAGAGAAACAGACACCAGGAGGAAAACCTATGTGTTTTCCTCTTCTTATAAGGACACTGGTGTCAGAGGAAAGACAGCCATATGAAAATAGATGCAGAGATTGGAGTTATGCTGCCACAAACCAAGGAATGCCTGAGGCTACCAAAAGCTAAAAAAGGTCAGGAATATTCTCCCCTAAAGGTTTCAGAGGGAGTATGGCTCCCCAACACCTTCATTTTGAACTTCTAGCATTTAGAATTCTGAGATAATAAATTCATGTTGTTTTAAGCCACCCAGTTTGTAGTATGTTTTAAAGACAATTCTAGGAAATGAATACATTTCCTAAGAAGACTGAGAAAGAGAAGCCATATAGGAAGTAAGAAAACCAGAATGTTTCAGAAGTCAGAGGAGGAAATTGAATGGAAAGTCACTTGTTTGTCAGCTACCCTATGCAGGTTAAGTAATATGCAAATCAGGAAGTGTCCACTGATTTTGGCATTGCACAAATGTATAGAAGTTTATTATTAATATTACAAGGAATTATTAGGTAGTTCCAGAAGAATAGAAATCACTTGTGTCCAAAGAATTAAGTAAGACTTTATAGAGGGCATGACATTGATGCTGGAATTTAAAGGATCACATTCTAAAATGCAGAAATGGAAGGTATAGTTGAACAATATGGGAGTTAGGGGTGCCAACACCTCATGCAGTAGAAAATGGTATATGACTTTTGGGTCCCCAAGCATATAATTACTAATTGTCTACTGTTAACCAAAAGCCTTTCCAATAACATAGAATATATTTTCAATTAACATATATTTTGTATGCTGTATGTATTATATACTATATTCCTACAATAAGTTAAACTAGGGAAAAGAAAATTTTGTTCAGAAAAATCAAAACTTAGAGAAAATATATTTACTATTCATTAGGTGGAAGTGGATCATCCTAAAGGTCTTAACTTCATCATCTTTCTGTTGAGTAGGCTGAGGGGCAGGAGGAAAAGGTAGGGTTGGTCTTACTCTCTCAGGGTGACAGAGGCAGAGGAAAATCTGTGTATATGTGAAACTGCACTGTTCAAACCCAAGTTGTTTAAGGGTCAACTGTAGTATAGCTAGAGGGGGAAAGTGAATGAAATTATGGAGGAAAAAATTTCAGAATATTGAGGAAATGGCCAATATAACATAGGATCAATATAAAGGAGATGTTATTTGGGATCTGTATTTGTCTGTTTTCACACTGCTATAAAGAACTACCTAAGCCTGGGCAATTTATAAAGAAAAGAGGTTTCATTGACTTGTAGTTCCACATGGCTGAGGAGACCTCAGGAAACTTACAGTCATGGCAGAAGGTGAAGCAGAAGCAAGGCACGTCTTACATAGCGGCAGGAAAGAGAGAGCGATGGGGGAAGTGCCATACTTTTAAGTCATTGGATCTCATGAGAACTCACTCACTACATGAGAATAGCATGCGGGAAATTCACTCCCATGACCCAGTCACCTCCCACTAGGCCCCTCCCCTGACATATGGGGATTACAATTTAACATGACGGGTGGGGACACAGAGCCAAACTATGTCAGGGTCAGATCACGGATGTCCTTAAATGTTATGATAAGGAATTTGAACTTTTTTCTAGAAAATCAGAAATACCACAGCCTTAAATGTAAATTAGGAAGGTTGTGTGTAAAATTTTGTACAGATACTGGGTATAAACAAACATTGGTGAGCTGTAGACAAGGAAGACTGGGAGGTATTAAAATGCCTAAAGAAGAGGTCTGCAGATTTGAACCTAAATAACAGTGGGAATGGAAATGTAGTTCCTATTTTTGAAGCCTTAACACATGCCAGGCCCCCTACTGACTGCATTATATATGTGATCACACTAAACCTGTCAACATCTCTCCATGGTGGAATTTCTCCTCCAAACTGTATACTTGTGAAGGCTGAGACTCAAATACATTAAGTATCTTACCAGAATTCACATACCTAATAATGGTGGGGCTGATATTTATACCCAGAAATTTGTTATAATTTTATGCTCCTGCCTCATCAATTTGCCCCAACCCAACCCCTACGGCTCATGTTGAAAATTTTGGGTTATTCAGAAAACTTATTAAATGAAGCTTTACACACTTTTCAGTTCTGTGCCACCCACCCCCCACACCACTAAAAAGGAAGAATATTTTGAAAACACAGTAATTCCATTTGAGAAATTCACTGTATTCTTGACTTACAATGAGTTTTCCATCTATTTCCTCCCATCTTTCCTATCTCCTAAAATACAGTCTGTCACTATTATAAGCATTTAAAGCTTTCCTTTTCCTACTGGCACCAGAGAACATAATGGGCATTTTGACATAGTAAAGAAAAGTGCCCTTTGAACTATCTGTAAAATGAATGCTGCTCAAGTGCACACTGGTTTTCCTTTTAGACGAGGATCACTTAGTGTTTCCCTGTCAGAGACTCACTGATGACCATTTACCCTTGAGACATACATGAATGAACCAGACAATGTTCTAATGATACTGAATTGGAAAGAAAACTGTACCTTGTTTCCTGCTTGTAAGGTTATTGCCTCAAGATAAAGATACAAACTGTTAATGAGAGCATTCTTCTGTGTTTGATGAAAGAGGATTCGAGCTATTCTTTAATCAGTTTTTAAAGAAAACACGCATTTATTTATTTTTAAACAGTAAAATATTATGGAATCAAGCATATACCTGTATATCTTGTATATTTAAAAAAATGATCAGTGTCATTGTAAGGCAACTGGCTTCCAACTTTTGAGAATCTAAACTAAAACAGGAGAAACTGAGAATTAGGGGGGAAAAGGCACAAGAACCAAATAAATGCCTTTCCTTCTTCTGTTTATATAATAAATGCACTTATTGTTGCCATGGCAAAAGAGCTAGTCTATTTTTTCCATTCCTCTGTCTCTATCCATTATTATATCCAACACCAGAAAATGTCATATTTCGCCGTCGTCATTCTTGGGTCATTATGTTTATCCATCTACTCTGCATTTACCACTCTCCCTTACAGTTTTTTTATAATAATATTTACAGAAAAAAAGTGATTTCAGGTGAGGGAAGTGACTTCCAATTCAGTCAGAGAAAGAAGGAAGCAAAGAATGATGAAAAGAAAAGGGGAAAGCACTCAGCAGTTATTTAGCCAGTGGAGGGACCTTCCTGATCTTGTAAAGCCCTTCAGACACCCAAGAAAAATGTCAAAAATGCCACTTAAAACAAATTCTAGTTTATCTATAAGCTAAGTCAACTTTGTGGAGGTCTATTTTGGCCTTCTAAACACAGACAGCCATAATGATGGGGGTCATATTGTATTTCATCTTTATTAGGCTGAACTCATGAAAAAAGTAAATTCTAAATTAAGGAAATTAATAATACCACTATCCTACAATATTCATACGCCATATGGAGCATTCTCAATTCGTGATGCCACATTTTATCAGGGAGAGTAACACACTAATATATTTCAAAAGATGGCAACCACTGGGCACAGTGGCTCATGCCTGTAATCCCAGCACTTTGGAGGCTGAGGTGGGCGGATCACGAGGTCAAGAGATCAAGACCACTCTGCCCAACATGATGAAACCCCATCTCTACTAAAAATAAAAATAAAAATAAAAAAAGATGGCAACCAAGGTCTTACAATCACATTCCCCCATTCATCAATTCATCTGTGTATTCACAAAACATTTCTTAAGAACATATTATGTGCTAAGCACTGATTTAACTTGAAATTTTTTTAAAATAAGACTTTATCCCCTCTCAAAAATTTCACATCCCCAATCCTCCCATGCAAAAGGCAGTTGAATGAACAGGGTAATTATTGTTCAGAAAAGAGAAGACTAAGTTTGAAGAGCTGTCCCTGAGAGAAGAGCAAATGCAGGAAAATGCCACAATCTGTAGAAAACAGTAAGGGTGAGATAAGTGGTTTCATCCTGTTTATATGTCCTGAGGCTTGAGTGTATAAACAACCCACTCACAATGTTCTTTCTCTCTCATTCCCATTCTACCTACCATTAGGGCAAAGGGATGAGGTAGCCTGCCTTCCCTTTCATAAATCCTTCAGTCGCAGACCCTGAAATTCATGTAAAAGCAATCCTACAGGACAGAGTTACTATTGGGAGGCTCAGGACAGGAGGGGGTCTAACCTTGTACAATCTAGGAAGAGTCCAGCGAAGGAAAAACTTGGATTCTGCCTTCGATTATCTGAACAGCTGTCTTGTAAAATAAGGAACAGATCAGACTTACACAAAGTTACAAGAAGCCAATTTGAGACCAAGGTGTGGATATTATAAAGAATAAGCTTTTTCCTGAATTTTCCTGAATTTGCTATTCTCTCAGGTTCAGCTCTTCAAACTTAGTACTGTTTTTTCTGAACAAAAATTACCCTGTTCATTCAAGTGCCTTTTGCATGATGTGAAATTTTTGAGGGTAGGGATAAGGTTTTACTTTTTCTACAAAAAATTCAAGTTAAATGACATAATATGCTCCTAATAAAAGTTTTGTGAATACAT